GGCCTTAGTGAGGCCGCAGCTGGAGTACTGTGTCCAGTTTTGGGCTCCACAATTCAAAAAGGATGTGGAGAAGCTTGAGAGAGTCCAGAGAAGAGCCACGCGCATGATCAGAGGTCAGGGAAGCAGACCCTACGATGACAGGCTGAGAGCCCTGGGGCTCTTTAGCCTGGAAAAGCGCAGGCTCAGGGGTGATCTGATGGCCACCTACAAGTTTATCAGGGGTGACCACCAGTATCTGGGGGAACGTTTGTTCGCCAGAGCGCCCCAAGGGATGACGACTAGTCGAACGGTCATAAACTACTACAAGACCGTTTCAGGCTGGACATAAGGAAGAATTTATTTCCTGTCCGAGCCCCCAAGGTCTGGAACAGCCTGCCACCGGAGGTGGTTCAAGCGCCTTCATTGAACATCTTCAAGACGAAACTGGATGCTTATCTTGCTGGGATCCTATGACCCCAGCTGACTTCCTGCCCTTTGGGCGGGGGGCTGGACTCGATGATCTTCCGAGGTCCCTTCCAGCCCTGATGTCTATGAAATCTATGGAAACCCCCAGAGCCGGCAGGAGCCCAGCCCCGGGTGAGGGGCCCTGTGCTCTGGGAGGTGGTGACATGGAGGAGAGGAAAGGAAGGGAGCGGGGCCTGGTGCGCGGGTGGGGGGCTGGGTTCTCCCTGCTCTGGGGTGGGGGGGGACAGGGCTGCAGCACCCCAGATCTCCCCTGTGCTGCAGGACGGACCGGGGCAGGACAGGATGGCGTTGCCCGAGCAGGATGCAGCCATGGACATGCTGTCTCAGAGCACCCGGTGCCCAAGTCGCACCCCGTCCTGTGGTGAGTTCGGGGCTTTGGGGAGAAGGGGGATGGACAGGGGGCCTGGATGCTCTGGGGGGTGAGAGCAGGGGGCTGGGAGCCCGGGCACGTGGGCTGTCTGGCCTGGGCTGTGTGGGGAGCGCTCGCATGGCGTCTTTCCTGTGTCTTTCTCCCACAGAGGATCCAGCCCGCAGCACCAGCAGGATCACACCACAGAAGATCCATTCCTGGGCACGTTCAAACACATTTTGGATATGCATTGGTACGGGGTGACCAGGGTGTCGTGGTCCCGGGCTCTGCCTGCTGCTCTCCCAGGCCTCTGCTGGCTGCCCCCCCCCGCCCCCAACCTCACATTGCTGCTGCAAAGGGTCAGGAGGGTTTCCCCTCCCACAAAGCGCTGGGTGCAGCCCAGGCTGGGATGGGGCTGGGCTGTGCCAATGCTCCTGCTGGCACCAACCCCACAGGGTCCTGGCCAGAGGGTCTTGCTCCCCTGCTCAGGGTCAGGGATTTCCCCCCTGCTCAGCCCAGGTGGCCTGGGGGGTTCCCCTCCCTCTGCAGCGGGGCACGGCCTGGGCCTGGGCTGTCTGCAGTGTCTCTGACCCCCGGCAGCAGCAGGACCTGGCTGCCACGGCCCCCCTGCTGTCCCTGGGGCGAGGGTGAGGGCAGCTGTGGGAAGGGGTTAGGGGATGAAGGCCTTTGGGCAGCATGGGTCTGATCCTGCTGCCTCAGGGGGGTTGAGCTGGACATGCCCCTGAGGTCCTTTCCAACCCCCGGCTCCGGGATTTGGGGTGAGGAACCCGGTGTCCAGGAGCAGGGAGGGAGCTGCTTGTGCTGTGCTCCCTGGCTCGGGGATCCTCTGACACCTGCTCCCCCGCAAGGCTGGACCGCCGTGCTGCTGCTGCTGATCCCGGTGCTGTATGTGGCAGTGGAGCTGTATGAGACAATACAGACACACGTGACACGACAGCTGACCAACACCCTGGTGCCTTCCTCCCGTCCCCGTAAGCAACGGGGGTCTGGGGTCTCTGCCCCACGGGAGCTGCTCTAGTGTTTTTCTGGGTGAAAAGGAGTGGAAAGGTGGAGGTGGTGTTTCCTGGGGGGGCTTGGGCCCGGGGCTGAGCACCGCTGTGACGGGATCGGAGGCAGCGGGGGACAGGGCTGGGGGTGGGAGCAGCTGGAAGCAGCCAGAGGCTGCTCTGGCCTTTGCTTGCTCTTCTCTTACGGACCCGCCCTGTCCCCGTGCGCCCGGGGCACAGCGGGGAAAAGCGACTCCCCAGAGATAGCGCGGGGGTCGGGGACAGGCTGGCAGCAGTGCCCGCGGCTGCCCCGGTCTCGCTCCCCCATTGCTGACTGGTAGCGCCTGGTCCAAGCCTGCACAGAGCAGGCCTCAGCACAGCGCTGCCCATTGCCTGGGGCCGCCCCGGGCACAGCACCCCATGGATGGGCACCCAGCACCTCCCCTCTCCCCGCGCGGCCGTTCCTGCCCTGGGATGCGGCTGCCCAGGGAGCTGCTGGTGTCCTCCCTGTGCGGCCCCCACGGGAGGTGGCATCGGGCACTGGGGGCACTGGTGTCTGCCCCGCTAGTGCTGACGCATCACTCCCACAGGCTCCCACTCCTACCGGCATTTCTACACGGGGGTGTCGGACCCCAGCCCGGGCGTGTCCGCCTTCACTGCCGTGGGCTACGTGGACGACCAGCAAATTCTGCACTACGACAGCGAGACGCGGAGACAGGAGCCGCGCGGGGACTGGATGCAGGGGGCCGTCGGACCAGGCTTCTGGGACAAGGAAACCAGGACGTTGCAGCGCTGGCAGGAGGGATTTAAACGGAACCTGGTCACCCTGCAGCATCGCTACAACCAGACAGGCGGTGAGTGTGAGCAGGCAGGTGTGAGCAGGGGTCCATGAGGGACCCTGGCACTGAGGGGGACTGAGGGCATGTGGGAGGCACCTGGCCATCTGCAGCTCAGGGTGCCAGGTGTGTGGTTCCTGCAGCCAGCTCCTCCCTGCAGCTGCCTCAGGCAGGGGCAGGGGCAGGGGCAGGGGCAGGGATCCAGTGCCCAAGACCGGCAAGAGACAGGGTCAGAGGCCCGGTGCTTGAGAGGGATTGGAAAAGTGCTTCCCTGCCCAGCAGGTCGGTGCCTCAGCAGCTGTTACGCAGACCCTCTCTCTCCCTGTCCCCCCCACCCCCAACCGCCTCCACCCACCCGGCTGGGCTGTCTGGCTCCTGCAGCAGGATCCCAGCCCTTGTGCCTAAGCTGGAGCCCCCAGGCTGATGTGTGGAGGGAAACCCTTGTGCCCGATAGTGATGGGAACAGCTGTTCTTGGTCCTGCCGTGGGTCAACGCACAGCTCCCCAGCTCTTGCCCTCTCCTGTCGCACGGAGCTCCCTGGGCCCTGTCCCAGCATTCGTGTCTATGACAGCGGAGGTGTGCTTGAGGTCGGCCCTTGTGGCCTCCAAACCTGCTCGGCCTTTCCAAGTAGGGTCAGCCAGGGGCGGTTGCTGCCCTGCTGCGTGCTGCCAGGACTGTGCTGTAAGCCCTGACGCAGCAGAGGGGAAAGCTATGTGAGCCTGCTCCAGCCCCCATGCAAGCCGGGCCCGAGATCTCTGTGCACACCAGCCTGTCCGCATTGCATCACAAGTGGGCACTGGGATGAAAGAGCGCCGTGACCAAAGCTCAGTGTCTGATGACACATAGCTGGGGGAAGCAGTAGATACACAGGAGGGCAGGGCTAGGATTCAGTGACCTTGACAAATTGAAGGATTGGGCCAAAAGGAATCTCATGAGGTTCAACAAGGATAGGTGCCAAGTCCTGCACTGAGGAGGGAGCGATCCCCTGCACCGGTGCAGGCTGGGGGTGACGGGCTGGGCAGCAGCTCTGCAGAAAAGGACCTGGGGGACAGGGGGCAAGAAGCTGAACAGGAGCCAGCAGTGTGCCCTTGGTGCCAAGAAGGCTACCGGCATCCTGGGCTGCACTGGTAGGAGCGCTGCCAGCAGATGGAGGGCAGTGATTCTTCCCCTCTATTCAGCACTGGGGAGGCCACATCTGGAGTCCTGTGTCCAGCTGTGGGCCCCCACGACAGAAAGGATTATTTATTCTGCAGAAGAGAAGACCGAGGGGGATTGAATAGCAGCCTCAAACTCCGCACAGGGGGTTGCAAAGAGGATAGAGCTGGGCTGGTCTCAGTGGGGGCAGACGACAGGACAAGGAGTAATGGGCTCAAGCTGCAGCAAGGGAAGTTGAGGTTGGATATTAGGAAAAATTTTCTCACAAAGAGGGTAGTAAAACAATGGCAGTGGTTATTGAGTCAAGTGCTGGTGTCTCCATCCTTGGAGGTGTTGAAGACCCAACGAGACCAAGCCTAGGCTGGGATGATGCAGTTGGGGCTGGTGCTGCTTGGAGCAGGGGTCAGACTAGATGTGCCCTCCTGAGCTCCCTCCCAGCCCACCTGTTCGATGAAGCTATGACTCCTGAACTGTGGGGCGGCTCCATGCCCCTCCGTGACCCCGGCTGACACCTCCCCTCTGACCCAGGCCGAGGGGTCCGGGTCCTGCATGCAGGGACTGCTGGGCTGGGCAGGGAAGGATGGGAGCCGGGGCTGTGGAGGGAGGACAGACATGCGAGAGGGCAGGGGCCGTGCAGGCCTGCGGTGCCCGGACAGCTGGCTGCAGGGTCTGTCACCAGCCTGAACAGCTGGATGTCCTGGGCTGGGCACAAGGAGCTGGTGTGACTGGTGCCATCACCAAGGGCAAGGGCAGCAGGTCCCGTTCCCGGGGCTCCCGCCTGCGCCTCTGCCCAGCCCGACCCCCTTCCCACGGTGCTGCTGCTCCCTGCCCTGGGCCTGCGCAGGGCCGGCTCCGCTCGTCCTGGTGCTGCAACACGCTGGCGCCTGGCAGGGAGGAGGGCACAGGCCACTGCCCAGCCTGCCCCAGGGGTAGGGTCTGTGCCTTGGCAGAGTCCCCGGGCAGGGCAGGGCCAGAGCAGCCGTCACGTCCAGAGCAGCCTCGTGCCTGGGCTGGGGGATGCAGAAGAGCCCCCGCGAGAAGCAGGAGGCCCCGGCCCCCAGGCAGGGACACGGGAGGACCTGGGTGCAGGGTCAGAGGGGCCCTGGGGTGGGGCAGGAGGGCGGTGAAGGGGCTGCTGGTTCTGGAGGAGCTGGTTTGGGTGGCGGGTTGAGAGCAGGGCACGGAGGGACATGGGGACAGGAGCGGGTGTTGGCAGCTGTGGAGAAGGGACAGGAGAACACAGAGGGGCAGGGAGGGAGGCAGAGCCCCAGGCAGGAGTTGGGAATCCCACGGGGGAAGGACCGGACCCCTGGGTGTGCGAGGGCCGTGGTGAGCAGTGACCGTGGGGACTCAGACATCTGTGCGGGGGGAGCTGTGGGGTGCAGGGCCCAGCCCCGTCACCCCCGGGTGCAGGCAGGGGTTGGGCTGAATGTGGCTGAATGCCCCAGGCTGCAGAGTCTGGTCCCTGCTCAGGGAAGCCACAGCATCCACTGCTCAGGCTCTGCTCCCGGGTCTCGCTGCCCCATGGGGAGGCTGCCCAGCTCCATGCTGCTCCCGCATGGAGAAGCAACCTGGACTCGTCCTGGGCAGTCTCACCTGCCCCTTCCTCCTTCCACCTTGCCCTTTCCCTTCCAGGGGCTGTTCCCACCCTCCTCCCAGCCCGGGGCTCCTGCATTCCCAGGGTGCATGGGGGCCGCGGTTGTCCCCTCAGCCTTGTTCTCCATGACTGGAGCCCCCGAGCTGTCCCCGTGCTTCCCCTCCATGGGGTCGGGTCTGCCCCTGCCCAGCCTGGCTGCCCTTGGCGGCCCCTGCTCCCTGGGGCCGTGACCCTGACCAGGGCTGGATCTGTGTTTCAGGGTCTCGCACTCTCCAGTTCATGTACGGCTGTGACCTCCATGAAGACAACAGCACTGGAGGCCACATGCAGTGGGCCTACAATGGGGGAGATTTCATCAGCTATGACCTGGGAACGTGCACCTGGGTAGCAGCCCCTACACAGGCCCAGCGCACCCAGCACAGCTGGAATGAGGATCAGGCTCTTCTTCAGAGTACAAGAGCCTACCTGGAGGAGACCTGCATCACGTGGCTGCGGCAGTACCTGCAGCACGGGGAGGCAGCGCTGCAGAGCAGTGAGTCCCGGTGTCACCGCCCAGGGCAGCACTGACCGGGGCACTCCTGCACCCCCCGGGGAAACCCCGCTCCATCCCCCTGTGTCGGGGCAGTGAGCGCTGTGTCTCGGTCCGTCCACTGGACGAGACCCCAGTGCTGCTGTGGGACACGGTGCCCTGTCCCTGCCTTGCTCGGGCCTCCCAGCTGTGCAGAGCCCACGGGGCATCCGTGCCCTGGCCACGTGTCTGAGGACCAGAGATCAGCCGTATGGGACCCCGTTCCTGCAGCTCCGAGCCCAGCACAGCCGTGTCTCCTGCCCCCTGTGCTCCCAACCCAGCGCCGACTGCCCCTGCCAGAAATGGGCGCTGGAGCCGGTTTGCGTGGTCAGTGCAGGGCCCAGCCCAGCTCCTGGCAGGGGTGCTGAGGGTCCCGCAGGGGCGGTCGCTCTAACGGGTGTCTCCTGCCTCCCAGAGCGTCCCGTGGCACAGGTGAGCGACAGGCCATCCCGGGACGGACGCACCACCCTGTCCTGCCGGGTCCACGGCTTCTACCCCAGGGACATCTCCGTCGTCTGGCTGCAGAGCGGGGAGGTGCAGACCCAGGAGATGAGCCATTCGGGGGTCCTTCCCAGTGGAGATGGGACCTACCAGACCTGGGCCACTATTGAGATTGACCCGAGCAACAGCCACGACTACGCCTGCCTTGTGGAGCATAAGAACCTGGGTTTAGTCCTGTGTGTGTTCTGGGATAAGGGCAGGACGGGTGAGTGACCCCCGCATGGAGAGGGAGAAGAAACCTGGCGCTCAGGGAGGGAGGGGCTGACAGACCCCGCTAAGCGGGGAAGGGATTGGGGGTTGGAGGATGCAGGGGCACCGATGGGGAGGGGGCACTGGGTCCATACAGCGTTGGGGGCAGGTCTGGAGGTTTCCCTCGCACACAGGCCCCTTCCCTCTTCCAGAGTACAACCGGAAGCTGATTGTGGGCATCCTTGTCGGTGCTGTGCTCTTTCTGGTCATCGTTGTGATGGGTGCAGCTGGTTACTTCCTCAGTAAGTGCCGGGCGCAGCCCGTGGGGCTAGGCCATGCCCAGGCCTTGGGGCAGGGGAGCAGAGAGGGCTCATCCTCGCCGTGCCTGGGACCTGTGGGGATGGGGGACTCTCTGGCTGCTCCTGTCTCCCCACCTCACGTGCCCCCGGGGGCTGCAGCAGCCAGACCCCAGCACCAGCACTGCGAGGCTGCCTTGGTGGGCCCCAGTTCTGCTCTGGGCATGTTGGATTTGGGCGGGGGGGGCTCGGAGGTTCCCCCCACACTCTGGGGTCTGATCGCAGCCGGGGGGTGAAACAGGGAAATGCCCCCAGCTCCCTCCTTGCAGCCGGAGGGTGACACTGCTGGTGCGGGGCTGGTCATGGCAAGGGTGTCAGTGGGGGGGCACAGCCCCTGTCCTTCGGTGCCTGTGGCAGGTCACCCCCCTCCAGCTATTGCACTGCAGCCCATTGCAGCCCTGGGGGGCAGAGCTGAGTCCAGCCTGGTTCTCGCTGTGTGTAAACGGGCTCTGGGCTGAGCTGGATTCCCCTGGGTTTAAGCAGGGGTGGGAGGGTTTTGTGGGTTGATACTTCCTGCACAGGGGAGCTGGGGGTCTTCCCTCCCTGCAACACTTACCCCTCCCAAATTCATCCCCCCCCCCGTATCTCATAAGTCTTGTTCTTCTAGAAGGAAGACGGAAACAACGACGAAGTACCCGTCACCAAGGAGGACTTTGAGTAAGAGCTGGGGGAGAGGGGACCCGATCCAGGCCTGGTGTGGAGGCTGGTGCTGGTCCGGGCGGTCTTGATGGGGTGGGGTCTTTTCACCTCTAGGGCCCCAATCTGGGCCCTGACCCTGGGAGGATCCCCAGCTGATGAGGGGGCAGGCTTCTCCTCCACAGCCCTGCTCCCGCTCCTGCTCCCAGTCCTGGTCCTGGGGGTCCCTGGCTAAGGCAGGAGGGGAAGGGGGAGCCATGTGCACATGTGGCCGTGTCTCCCAGACACCTGGGTCCTGTGTGTATGTGTATCAGGACTGACCCCCACCCCTCCTTTCCCCCATAGCGGGCAGGACCCAGTGCGGATCTACCGCCCGTGGGACCAGGTCGGCTACAACCACTTCATCACGCCCTGGGCTCCACGTGCTGCTGGGTGGCTTCTCCTCCGGCCACGTCTGGCTCAGGAAGTCCAAGGATGATACGGTGCGCGAGGACCCCCCAGCACCGCTCAGCTCTGCGCAGCCCCCTCCTGCCACGGGACCGGCCCAGTGGGATCCTGGGGCAAAGGCAGCACCAGCAACACCCGAAACCCTTGTGCTCCTGGCCCGCATGGCACCGATGGCAGCCACTGCCCCTGTGCGGGGTCTGGGGCGGGTAGCCAGGTCCTTGTCAGACGAAGCTGCAGAAAACACCTGGGTGTGGGAGTGCAGACCCCGAGACGGTTCCCAGGGAGCTGCACTGGACACACGGGCACTCCCCGTATGGGACAGGGAGCCCGGACACTGGGGTCTCTGGGCTGGGAGTGGATGGGGGAAGAGGGCTGGGGCCTGGACCCTGGGTTTCATCGGCATTGGGGACTGCGGTGGGATCAGGGGGTCCTACAGCCAACAGGGCGGACCTGAGAGCCCCCAGCTCCCCCAGTCTGGGCCTGCTGGCACCACGGGGTCTCCAGTGCCAGGGGCCAGTCCCTTTTTTGCAGGCTCCAGGATTTGCCCCCCTTGGGCGGTGGCCTCCAGGTGCTGTTGGCTGAAATCACCTGGGTGCCTCCTGGCTCCAGGTGCGGCTGGAGAGGTCCCAGGCTCAAGGACCCCTGGGGGTCAGGGGGCTGCGGGCTGGGAGCGAGGGGCACCAGCAGCGCTGGGAGGTGGGAGCAAAGGGAGTATCACAGCCGGGTCCTACCGGAGGGCCGTGATCTCCTTAAGGCCCCCTTCCTCCGTGCCAAGTCGGCCCAAGGGCACCCTCTAATTCTTGCCTGCCACGTCTTTGATGTTCCAATGTATTAGGGAGGCTGCCTCATGTCTCCTTGGACACGGTTACTTCTGGCCCCGTGAACTCCCGACTGTTTGTGGGTCTCACGCTACGATGGGTGCTTCCCGGGCACCCTAGCCTTATGGGCTGTGCGTGGCTCCAACCACCCCTGATACCATGCCCCAAGCCTCGCAGCTGGAATGGACGTCGTTCGTTCTCTTTCTCCGTCTTCCCACGCCCTCCCTCAGGGCCTCCTCTGCAGCACCGCCCTTCTCTCCAGGGCCTTCTCAACAATGCTGCCCCTTTCAGTAACACTGCCCCCTTCTCTAGGGCCTTCTCTGTACTGCTGCCCCCTTCTCTAGGGCCTTTTCAGTATTGCTGCCCTCTCTTCGGGCCTTCTCAGTAATACCGCCCCTTTTCTGGAGCTGTCCGTGCCCACGCTGGGCCTTCTCAGTCAAGCCGCCCCCTCTTGGGGCTCTCCTATAATGCCGCCCCGTCTCGGGGCTCGCCAGTCAGCTGTCGCCTTCTCTGGGGCTCGCTGCGCCCGCTCTGGGGCTTTTCCACAATGTCCCCTTCTCTGAGGCTTCTCAACTGCCCCTCTCTGGGGCTGGGGCCTATGCACCCACTATGCGGTGCCTTACTGGGGTCCCCAAGCAGTTGTGGGTCCCCTATGAGGCCTCCTCCAACCCCTAATAGCCTCACGCAAACCACCGGTGTAACAAACAGCAACACAAACTGGAGCCTCCCGGCTATAACTTACACACAAGCCGCCTGGCTACAACAGCATTGCGCAAGCATCTTAGAGCTGCCATAAGCTGTACTTGTGGTCAGGCTTCTTCCTGCATCCTGGCTTAGCGAGCTCCTTCCTCTTTGGCTGCTGGCAGGGAACTGCCTCTGGCCTCAGCTCCAGGGCTTTATAAGAGCCAGGCCCTGCCCCCTCTGGTCAGCTGACCTCCTGGTTGCCCTGGCAACCCACAGCTGGGCTCCTTATTCCCTGCCAGGGCTCTTTCCCCGGCAGTTTCCCCTCTCTGGGAGCAGGGCACCTCAGTGCTCTGTGACACGGGGGTTAGAGGCAGAGCTCGATCCCGTCGTCACTCAGGAGACACAATGGTCCTAGGATCTGACACCGGGCTCCTTCCTCATCCTTCTTCCCTCTCAGTCCAGGACGGTCTCCTCGGTCTCATTCTCGATCTGAACACTGCCTTGCAAGTGGCTGCGAAGACCCAGCCCACGACCCGTGTTGTGCCGTGCTCCCGGCTGCACACAAGTCAGAGCAGACCCGTGTGTTCCCCAGGACCGGACCCATGCGTGGTGAGTGCCTGTGGGCAGGGCCCACGCACCATTGCTACGGGCCCAGCACAGACCTGGTTGCATCCAAAACAGTCCTTCTGAATAAAGATCCTGGATCATTTTCAGCGGTGGTCAGACATGATTCCTCAGCTGCGTCATCATGGAATAGTGCTCTGGCGAGGTGCCAGAGGACTGGGAAAGGGCCAATGTGGTCTCCATTTTCAAAAAAGGGAGGAAGGAAGACCCAGGGAACTATAGGCCAGTCCGTCTTACCTCGATCCCAGGTAAGCTTTTTGAGAGAGTTATCCTGGCGCATGTCTACGAGGGGCTGGCAGGGGAGGTTATGCTCAGGGGCAACCAGCATGGGTTCATTCGAGGCAGGTCCTGTCAGGCCAACCTGGTGGCCTCTGACGACCAGGTCACAAAATCCTTAGACACAAGGGTAGCAGTGGCCGTAGTCTTTCTGGACTTCAGGAAGGCCTTCAACATTGTCTCTCACCCCATTCTCATTAAAAAAACTAGGGGACTGTGGCATCAACACCTACATGGTCAGATGGGTTGCTAACTGGCTGAAGAGCCGCACCCAGAGAGTGGTGGTGGACGGGTCCTATTCAACCTGGAGGGACATGGGCAGTGGGGTCCCCCAGGGCTCGGTCCTTGGACCCCCGCTGTTCAACATCTTCATCAGCGACTTGGACATGGGGGTAAAAAGCACCCTGTTCAAATTTGCTGATGACACTAAGATGTGGGGGGAAGTGGGCATGCTAGAAGGGAGGAATAGGCTGCAAGGGTCCAGAGGAGGGCCACTTGCATGGTCAGGGGACAGCAGGGCAGGCCCTACGAGGAGAGGCGACGGGACCTGAACCTGTTCAGCCTCCACAAGAGAAGGCTGAGCGGGGATCTAGTGGCCTGTTACAAACTAGTCAGGGGGACCAGCAGGCATTGGGGGAGTCCCTGTTCCCCTGAGCATTACCAGGAGTGACGGTCACAAGCTGGCAGAGGGTAGTTTCAGACTAGACATCAGGTGGCACTACTTCACAGTCAGGGCGGCTAGGATCTGGAACCAACTTCCAAGCGAAGTGGTGCTGGCTCCCACCCCGGGGGGCCTTTAAGAGGAGGTTGGATGAACACCTTGCTGGGGTCGTTTGACTACAGTACTTTTTCCTGCCATGGCAGGGGTTCGGACTTAATGATCTGCTCAGGTCCCTTCCGACCCAATCAACTAAGAAACTATGAAATCCTTTCTGCTTCTTGCCTCTCTTCTTTGTAATTGTGCCAAATTCCCTGTGCCTTCTGCAACAAGAAATGCTTCCTGAGGACTTTTGGGCCCCTGATCTCTAACTTGTTTTACTTCTTCAGTAATGTCAGCACTGAGAGCTGCCTCTGATTCAAGAGATTCCCCTGGCTTGTAACGTCTTGTTTCTGTCGTCAGTACTTGAAGGAGCCTTGTACCAGCAGCTAGCCAGCAAAAGGCATGAAAATGAGCTGAAGGACCTTTTCAGGGCTTCCAGGTGTGATTGGACACCAGACAGAACAATTTTTGGTGGACAGAGTCCATTATCAGCCTGGGTCTTTGCAGAAGCATGAATCAGATAGTGTACTACTGCTCTCTCCTGGTTTTTGAACGCCTTCTTCTGAACGTGGTGGTGCTATTGGTGATATTAACTGACTATCTTTTAAAAGCATTATATTGGAGACACATTATGTATCTGGCAGCTTTTCTTCATCATCAGTTGCCACAGACACAGTGTCTATATTCAAATCCTTTCCAACTTGCTTTTGTTCATCTACTTCCCTAGTTAGTGTATTGCCTGAGCCAGACCGCAGAAAGCCCTCGTCTGTTTTGAAAACTGGAGGATCAATTGATGTCTTTTAGCTTCTTTCTCTTCCCTTTATTTTACCTCCTTACATTTCTGGCTTCCTGACTTGCATTTCTAGACATGTCAGGTTTGACCTAGAAACCACTACACATAGCCCAAGCAAAAGTTTCTGTTATGTAACTAATGCCCATCTGCAATGATAAGGAGGAGACAGTCTTAGATAAAGGAGGCTTGAAAACAAAAGCAGAATCAGTGGACTAGGGCAAAGAGCTAATTTAAATATTAAAAATCACACCCCTAGGTGGGGAGAAAGTATGCTAATGAAACATACATGTATGGAAATGAGATACATAGCTAAAACACAGGTATAGAGACATACTCAGTAAAGAACTGCTTGCGCCACTCCCTTATCACCAATTAGCAAACAAGAATGCTTATGAAGGTCCAATACTCCCGTATAAAAGATGCTCATAATTAAGACTCTGTGTGCTTGTTACGTGAAATTATTCCGCTTGCACCTTGTATTGCTAGCAATAAATCTTTATACTTTCACCACCCCTGATATCTTTATTGGCTTTTGCATACCGGGCACGATCCCAGATTTGAGCTGGGGCTCAACAACAGTAGCCCCATTTTGTAGTGCTGTACACACTCAAGACTATCTGGAAAAAAATTTGGGGGGGACTTGTATAATTGAACAGGCTTTTTTAAGAGCCGTTTTCTTAAAGTCTGGAAATACATTTTGGAGATCATATTTTCTTAGTGATAAGTACTATATTGGGTATCAGATTTTTTTCTGCCCGTGTGAGACTTTTAGACAGAGAAGCACATTCACAAATCTGTCCTTGCTCCATCTGAAAGACAATAATGTAACAAGGACTCATGTCAGTTAGCCTTAGCAGTGTCAGATCTTTTATCCGCCCAGTGGTGTATGAGGAAATAGTAAATCTAATTATTTGCCATAAAAACACTGTAGAAGTATTCCTTAGTGATCATCTGCAGCCATTATTCTGCTGCAGGCTGTAATCTCAGCACAGCTCATATGCTAAAGAAAGTCAGATCTTGGAATAATTTATTCTAAGGTTGCCCTCCATCTTGCTAAAATGCCAATACCCCAGCATATATGAAGCAATA